TGCAATTATGTCAGTACACTTGATATAAGATTAAACTCACTTATAAGTCACTTTTCAGCAAGATGCATGAGCTTGTTTTAAGTCAACAATTTCTTAATATTGATGAAAAAGTCTTAGATCCAATGACAGATTATTTCACTTATTACATGGGAAAAATGTCTTAATTAGTTAAATAAGCTGCATTTGGAGTACTTATTAAAATCAATATTAAGGAAATATTTACTAAAGAACAAGCTCCTATATCTTGATTTAAAAAAAAAACAGTGTATCTTTCATAGATCAAAGCTAACTTTCACATATACAGACATTTGTCCTAGAAACTAGACATAAGGTAAGTTTACATCTAGTTTCTTAAACACACAGGCAGAGAGGAGCAAGTGAGTTGATAGAAAATAATACAAGGTAATTCTGTTTTCTACCAGATTTCTGCCTGGTTGAAAACAGCCTGTAACAGGCTGCAAAAAGCTCACCACACTTTTCATGCTGTTATTTGTAAAACCATGTTTCCTTTAACTTCCACTCAACAAAGACAACAATAAGGTGTTTGAAACTTTTATTTCTATGCTGGTTTAGATGCATTGACAGCATGAATGCATCTAAACCTGCTGCACTGCAGCAGGGTTGCTGTCCACTTCGGAAGCATCATTTTTAGCCCTATTATGTCTGAAGAATTATGATTTTAGGCTTTTCACGTGTCATTTCATGCTTTTAGGTGTGAAGTAAAACAGCTACAGGTCACATCTGGGTCACTGAAGTTAGAAGCCTGTTAGTTTAACTCTTAATAGCCGCTGAATTTACTCAGCACAACAGTTAGCATTATGCTAACTGTTGTGACCAATTTGAAATGAACTATGTACAATTATTGGTTTTGTCATTTATTATTTCTATATTTCTTATTTTTGCATGTTTATATGTTGTGTGTTATCTGTTAGCTTTATGATACTGACTCTGGAATATCCATAAGAATTCCATTGCACTTGTTTTTAACTTGTACATACAGTAAATAAAAATATATTATATTATATTATATTATATTATATTATATTATATTATATTATATTATATTATATTATATTATATTATATTATATTATAAGTAGTTGTTAACTTACTTTTGAGTAGCTTTTAACTGCAGCAGCTCTTAGCTTCTCTTTGAACTTGTCAGCTGAACTCTGACAAGTTGTTAGCTTGTCTCCCCTATTAATATTCCTGTTCTTTTTTTCTAACACAAATCAGTTGAAAGGTGTAGCAATTTTTATAATGATGCATATGTTTTCTACATATTTGTTCCAACTGTTATCGCATCATGACAGTTTATTATGAGGCAGAGAATCTGTGAAAAGATCGATTAACTCCACCTTCACGCTGAGCTACTGAAGAAAAGCACTTTTCCCAACCAAAAACAACCAATCAGAGTCAGGAGGTGGGGCCTAAGACTGTCAATCAACTCATGTGCTCGCAGCTCAATATGCTAATGGTGGAGAACAACTTACAATTATAGGAAAACTGTTTATGTGTCAGAGTAAGCAGGGCACGAATGAGCAGTGCAACAAAAGTGACACGGCTCTAAGACTCTCTGATTGGTTCTGATTGGTTGTCTCAACAAACATGACTTTTTTTTTAATAAACGCAACAAACCACAGCTTTATCTGGTAACCACTGACTACTCATAACTACCTCACTCAGCCCCACTTAATAAATCTCATGCACTATTTTGACCGTAGAGCTAGAAGTAGCCCTTTGAAATTCAGCAACAAACATGTTTGGTGACTGAGGTCCTACTGGTTGGCTCAATAAAAATACACCAAGCTACTCAGCAGAAAATAACCTGAAAAGAAAGCTTGCCTGGCTTTCAGCTGACGCCAACGGCTCTTGAACAAGCAGGCCTACATGCCAGGCAAATACACATTTAAGTCTGACATCCAGAGCACATTCACTGCCTTACCTCTGAATGTAAGGCGCTGAGGAAGCTGTATGTGATGTTACTTCCCTCTTTGGTAACAACACATTAGAGACATGTTGACTGACTGAAGTTTAAAGGTTGGGAGGAAAGTGTGTTTGTGTGCAGCCACATCAGCTCTTCCCCTGCTTCGTGCTGAAGGAAGTCTGCTGTCTGACTTGCTCTTGTTTGGGTCTGACATGAGAAAACACAGAGGATGAAAATGAGGTCTCCCAATCCTTAATTATTTAAATCAAACAATTACCCACAGCTATCTGGGGAAAAGCTCTTTTATCCGCTCTTTCAGAGCATCCAGGGTGGAGTCTGGAGTGGAAGACACAGCACATGGAGAAGAGCACAAAACACGCAGTCATTTTTCTGTAAGACTTGAATTATTAAAACAGCTATTTTAAACTGCACAGGTGCTCTGCAGATCGCAGGCTTAGATCAGGGGCCTTCTGAAAAGCAACAAAGATTTCCACTAAATAAGAAAACTCCAGCACAGGTTTGTCTGGAGAAATACTATCAAAGAAAACATGAACACCTTGAAGAAGTCAAAAAAGTCTGACTTTCATAGAACCATTTCTCTTTAGAAAAACAACACAGTAACAAAATTCAGAAACATTTTGATACATTGCTGTACGTCCTATTTCTTCTACAAAAGATTTAAAAAACATGAAATAATATTTCTATAACCTCTTCTGAGGACGTTATGAGAACAGTTTGCTCATATTCCTGCTTCTCTCTTATTTTGTTCTCTGAATATTTGCATTCCGTCAGTTTGTTTCAGGAAAACTTGATCCACTGCTCACATTGATTACACGGTCAATTATATATAATTTATAGGCCTCAACTGGAGAGCCGCTCCACCATTAAACTTTGATGAAGCCATGTACTACATTCTTTGTTATAGACCAACATGCCAGCCAGTCACTGTCTGGTAGGCACTACAAAAATAGAGAAAAAAAATCAATAAAACGTATTTACTTATTTATTGCAAAAATTTTAAATACAATAAGGATAACACGTCATAAAAAGATTACCCATCAAATACAATGGGAAAACATAGACTTGCTTGTTATTTTAAATATTTAATAAATGTGTTTTAATACAATAAAAAGCAAACAAAGCAGTTTTCTGATCTGGTTTTCTGTCCTTAAGTCTAAATTTCACAAAACTAACTTTTTAATTATCTACTGCATTTACATTTAAAGGCTGCAAAAGCTGTAACACTGAATATTTCAAATCAAGATGACTTCCACATATACGGATAAGTTTTTCTGAATAACAAAACTACTCTAAAACTATTGAATTAATATGGGGAAAGTTATGTTGTTACCATTAAAAGACTTTGTAAGGTAGAAAATAGTAATAGAAGAATTGCTTGGGATATTTATTTCCTTTTGCTGGCCCTATGGTGGCCCCCAGGTGCTTGTTTGGGGTCCCGCTGCTGTGGAGGCCTGTATTGTGTTGCTCCGAAGGGAACTGAGGCCTGAGCTCCTGTTATACAACACACAACTGTAGCTTCTCAACAAACACCCTCAGAAATCAATAGTATCATAACAGCTTATATTTATTATTCATTAATAATGTGTTTATGGACCCAAACCACCCACTGAAACAAGTTGGTATGAAATGTGTGTGTATGCGTGTGTGTGTGTGTGTGGGGGGGGGGGGGTGTATGTGTGTGTGTATGCGTGCGTGTGTGTGTGTAATGGCCTTTTTCTTTATGAAATTAAGGCGAAAGTTTTGTTGCTGTGAATAAAAATGTGAATTAAACGACCTTTCCTAAAAGTGAGGCTTCACAAAACGGTTGGTACTAAGGACACATTTGTGATTTGGGTATAATTTATATTTCAAATATGTATTTTGTCCTTAGTCAATGGGCTTTGTCAAGTAACAACAATGATAGTATATTGTGAAAATCATTTATTATCTTAATACAGTTAAATCTTGAGAAAAACATAAACAATAATTATTATTATTATTTAATTTTAAAGGAAATATTCAATACTTATATAAAATATGCAATAATAAATATTTGCTATTTGAAGTCTCAGTCTTTGTGGAAAACTTTGTGTTTTCCACAAAGTATTTTTTTTTTTAAACTGTTCATTCAATAGTTTGCCTTTACAATGAGTAACATTCCTTGTTGCTTTATCCTAAATAATTCTAATCCTTCAAGTCACATTAGTTCAAATGATGGACTTTTCAATTAAATTACATTTCCCTACAAGTTTTAAAGCTGCACTTTTTATTTCATCTGGCCAGATTCAAAAGTTACAGAACAGTTCAGTTGATTTCATCAAGATTTTTCAAATATCTCAACATCAGTTGTTATTTCAAATGAAAATGTGAAAATATGTTAAATGATCCGCAGTGGAGTAATTTACACTTCTTTTAATCCAAATTAAATGTTAGTGTGAGCTCCAACGTTGAAGCAAACGTTTCTGTCTGGAAATTGAACTAAACTGTTAGTGTGCACAAAAAAATCGCTTTTTTTATATCATTAAAATTGTTTATTCACTTGTAAATTTTCAGCTTAAACCACGTGGGACATATTCATGCCACATGGATCTATTTTTAGTTCTCGCTCAGCCTTATTTTGGTCTCGTATTCCTCATGTCAACCTTTTTTAGCTCTGATCTCGTCATTTTATTTATTTCTTTATTTATTTCTTTATTTATTTATTTAAACATAAGCTTTAAAAACGCTCAGAGAACTTTTTATCTGCTCAGCTAAGAAACTGAAAACGGCACCGGGCACGATGGGATAGAGCCGCGTAGCCTTCATAGCCTGCAGAGTTGATCAATATGAGAGTCACTCAAGTATCAGATCCTATTCATCACCGCTGGGAAAGCAGCTTTCAGACGGAGCTCCTTCACCTCTGGGGCTTCTCCTGTTTCAGAGCGGCAGCTGCTCAGCTCCGCGCGTAAAACACGCGCAGCGTCTCCAAGAGGCGCAAACACGAGAGCGCTGCGCTTCCAAGCTCGTGTTGCACGCGCAGCACCGTTAAATGTTTACGTGAAAAGACACCAGCAGGTAAAACGACGCAGAAAGGCTTTCAGAAGTAAAACGTGCACAGTTTATTTCAGCTTCTGCAGCTTTACAGAGACACATTTGAAGCACACTTTCACAAATGAAATGTTTTCTTTTTTCCAGAATAAATTAAATTCAAATAAATAACAATTCAACATAAAAAATAAAAGTAATAGTAAAGTCTTCTCAGAAGTGTTGAAAAATATGTATAAATAAGGCCGACTACACCTCCCTTCATCAGAATATCTACAAAGTGCGCTCCACAAACGGGTCAGTGATCAGAAGAAGTCGAAATGATTCGTTTTCATGAGGGCGGGGAGAACAACAACACGACTCATAATAATCTGATTGTCGAAGCATCATTGCGGTGAACAGGTTTTACACGTCAGTGAGTCTTCTACAGGCCTAATTCAGCCAGTGGCAGAGAAAACAAACAGAAAGCACGTCCAAGAACCAACCAGAGTGTTCAAAATCACCAGAAATGTGCCATCACTTGCGTAATGAGGTAGACGCACAGCTACGCCGTGTTAATGTGTGTATCCGTGCGTGTTTATATACGTGAGTGAGTGCGTGTGTTTGCGTTTTATTGCAATGCATTCACTTTGGAAATGAGGAAGGGAACATGAGGGGAAATAAGGGAACATGGGGGAAGACGAGGGGGGGCAGTGTTGGTCCTTTTGGAGCAAAAAGCGCAGAAACATCCAGGCCTCTCTTGCGTTTCTGCAGAGGAACCCATGACGCTGATTGCACACACTGCGCGCCAGATTCTGACTTATTTTATCTTTTTCTACTAGTTTGGTCTGATTTGTCCCCCAATATGGTGAGCAACCCAACAAAAACATCTGGGAGGAAAATTCAATACATTTCAATGACAGTTTCCACACAAGGAAGTGCATATATTCACAAATATGTACACTGATAAATATAAAAAGAACTATCCGGGTCACAGAGGGTAATATGAACTATTATTCCTCATTTCCCGCGGTTAGTATTTTTATTTTTGTACAATAATTACTTTTTCATCCACAATTGGTCGCCTTTTCTCTTCAGTCAGAGAGCAGCAGTTTATTCTGCGGAGACGCAAACAGCTTTGAAAGTCACTGAGTCTGTTTTTCTGTCTGCGGTTCCACTGTCAGGACCAAACAAGGTACACGGTGTGACGCAGAACACAAACGTTCCTGTTAATACATGCTGAGCGGTGAAAAGTCCGCAAGTGTCCCCGAGTCACATCTGAGCTGAACGGCGCACCAAACTGCGTGATTTCTGCTCCAATACGCACAAATCTGGGACCTGCGGTGAACTATGGAGGCTGTTCAACCTACACTCTAAATATGAATTTTGCAAGGTATTAAACTTAAGTATTTTCTTACTTATTGGTTTGAATGCAAAATGTTAAATGATGATTCAATTCTAACAAGAGTCAGATTTTTTAAAATGTAATTAAATAGATAAAACCCCATTAAACAGTCAGATTAAAGTTAAAAGCTGCAAGCCAAACGTTTCTGCAAAATTATTTAAAATAGCCTAAAATATAGGGTTTTTTCAGTTTATAAGTTGGTTTTGGTATATTGTTGACAATTCTTATTTAATCAAGATAAAATCTCACTTCTCAGAAACCAGTTTATACAATCTATTATGACATCATGAAAGGCACAGGGGATGTTACTGAGCATATTCCTTCATGTCCCTACAATGCAGCACATCCTATACTGTCACAACTCAGTTTCATGACGTCAAAAATCATTTGCATACCAGTGATTATTGTTTCTTGGGATTTAGTCACTGAAACAAATCACTCCATATAGGCTAATTCATTTTCATTAAACCCTGTGTATTTAATGAAATCTTCATTAGAGATTTATAATTCATATCTACCAGTGTGTATTTGTTAGAGAACAACATACATGACTGGATAACATCATTAACTGAAAAGGTTGTAAGTTCAGTCAACCAGTTTAGCGACAATGCTAATCTGAACGTGCTAGCCCAGAGGCAGCCATTGCTAAGCTATGGATCAACGTAGCGGTGAAAGGTTTGCACGTCCTCTTCTGACAGACGACATGATGTTCATTAGCAACGACATCTTCATGGTTAAGAATGGAAGCAAGCTAGCAAGTTGACATTAGCTCTAGCACTGTGGCTAAACTAGCTGAGTCTTAAAACTGATATTGTAGGAGAAACTTTGAAACTTTCTCAACCTCAAATCTTATAGTTTTTAACAAATTAATTCCCACTAAGACCCAGATAAATATATCAGTCTGCCTTTTCTTAACTAATGAGAATAACAGTAATGTAATTTATTTGAAAATATTAATATTTTTATTTAAGAAAGTACCTAATGTGAGAATTTAACCATTATTAAACACTAAATTATATATATATTGGGCACCTAGTGATATTCTCCAAAATTCATTTTTAAAGTGTAGACATGAGTCTTTATTCAATGGCATTAGATGCGTTTATTGAAAACCAAATATTACTGTTTGTTTTTAGCATGAGATTAAAACCTAGACTTTAAAAATCACAGAAATGAATAATTGTATTTTGACACATTTTAAAAATGGGCATGCATTTAATATTGTATGTAAGTGTCTCTTAGCAGGTAAACTTGTAATATTTTTCCTTATAAATTGTTTTAAAATTAAATCTAACAAAAGGCAAAGCTGTAGAAGTTTAATTGGTTCATTTTAATCAACTTAATCAATTAATTTAACATAATTAAGTCAATGTATCGATTATGAAATTCAGCAAAAAATACATTTTTTTTCTTCACGAAAGATGCCAGTTTAATTTCTCTGAAACTATAATTAAAACTAACATCAGTTGCCTTTTTATTTAAGAATAAAAATCATATGTGACTTGTTTTAAGTGCCGCCCTGACAATCGACCTGTTTGGTATCTTTCTTGGGAAACAAGCAAATTTAATTGATCTAAATTTACATTTGAAAACAACATATTGTGTATTTGAATGTGGGAATCTCAATAAGAGATTTTGAGACTTGTTTTGAGTGCGCATCTTTGCGGCCCTGGCTGTGCGCCACGCAGAGTTTCTCCCCGCGGGAAAAAGGCGCAGGTACCGCTGGTACCTTGTTGATTCTGACAGTGCGGCTCCAGCAGACCAGCCTCAGCAGCTTGTCTCTGGTTTGTCTCTGTTGAAACCGGCTCAGAGACCCTCGGGTCTGTCGCAGTCTGCTTCAGTGCGTCGCAGAAAACTTCATCCGTTTCTGTTTTTGCCTCTGATTGCAAAACCAAACGCGGACCACGTTCTTTTTCAGATCCAGTTTCTCGGCGATCGCGGCGATCTTCTCCGACGACGGCCGCGGCTGCACGGCGAAATACGCCTCAAGGGAGCGCTTCTCCGGCGCGGCGATGGACGTGCGTTTCCTTTTCTTGTCGCCGCCGTTGAAGATCTCTGGCTTGGACATCTTCTCCCTCTGCGCCCGCTCCGCCTCCTCCAGCCAGGCCTCCAGAATGGGCTTCAGGGCCACCATGTTGTTGTGTGAGAGGGTCAGGGATTCGAACCTGCAGATGGTGCTCTGGCTCAGGCAGCCGACCCCCGGGATCTTGAGGTTGGCCAGCGCCGCTCCCACGTCAGCCTGAGTGACGCCCAGTTTGATCCGCCTCTGCTTGAAGCGCTCAGCGAACGACTCCAGCTCCCGCGGGTCGGGCTCCGCGTCCCCGCCAGCGCTCCCCAGGGAGCCGTGGGATCCCAGCGCGTGCGGATGCATGTTCATGGACTGAGTGTGGTGGTGGTGCTGCATATGGTTGATGGCCGACATGTGGGCCGCGGCGTGAGCCGTGTGCGAGGCCGTGGAGCAGACGTCCGAGCCGGGCATGCCTCCCAGAGAAATCCCCGGGGTGAGATGGTCAAGCAGGTCTCCCTCCAGTCCCTGCGCGGGCTGGTGGTGCGCCGGGTGGTGGTGTGAGGTGAGCACTGACGGGTGGTGTAGATGCGCGGAGGAGGAGGTCGGGGTGCAGGTCATGCTGGTCATGGTGGTCATGGTGTGGTACGTGGCGTCTGGCTTGAAAGGATGGCTCTTCTGGGCCACGATGTCCACGGCGGCGAGAGCCTCGGCTCTCTGCAGAAGCGTCTCATCGAAGCCGGCGAAGATGTTGCCCTGAAGCTGAGAGAGGAGGAAGGACAGAGGCAGAGCCGTCAGAGCCGTCAGAGCCGTCAGAGCCAGCAGAGCCAGCAGTCTGCCACAAAACCAACAGCTGCTGCTGCTGCTGGTTGAACTGTTGGATGCGCCAAAGGCTCTCTGCTTGTCCTAATATTTAAAAAACAATGAATCATTTGATAGTTTAACATAAAACACATGCAAAATAATAATAATAATAATAATAATAATAATAATATAATAATAATAATAATAATAATAATAATAATAATAAATGAAATAAAGAATGCATACAATTATATAAAAAAAATAAAAATAAATTTAAAATAAAAACTTGACATACTTTTAGAGGAAAAATCACCAAAAAGAAGATGTTTAAAATTGCCACCATAATCACTTTGAGCCGTTTGAACATTTCATAAACCTCTAAAGAAAAACTTTGACTAGGATTTTTTGACCTCAGTTTTCCAAGCTGTCAGCGGCTCCTTCCTGCAGCGCGTCCGCGTGGAGGAATATTCATTTAAAATTTATATTTACGATCTCCTGAATAATTCCTACGGACGATGAAACGAGACCCGTTTGAATATGAATGAGACAATATGAGAAAAGGCGAGTCCACTCCACGCACTGTGCATCATCTTGAACTTTTCTTTAGCCTTCTGATGCATCGTGGAAGCGCAGCATCCCTTTTCCTTCTCTAAAGGACATTTTCACGATTTCTGCATTTAAGTCCTTTAAGGACGTTACAAGAAAATCATTTAATTAAATCTTTATTTTCATTTACGTTGAGGAAAGTACAAATTTCTCCAACTTATAACTTGAGACTTTTTTTATTGTACAGTTTCGTTTGTAGACAAAATGTGCTGTTGTGATCACACGTTCATCTATTTTTATAATTTATTTCTTTACATTTTTTAACGCTGTAAAACAGATTTACACTGAATTAAAAGTTGTTGGTGCAAATTTACGCATTTAACCCACTAAATCAAGCAATTTACAAAAGTCCTTGTACTTTTAAGTCCTCTATGCGAATTCTCAAAAAAAAGAAAGAAAGAAAGAAAGTAAAAGTCTTCATTTTGCGGTGGGTTTGCGCTTTTGCTGTTGTGCAGTTGCGCGGGCAGCAAGGTGAGACTCACCGACGGCGTGGGCAGGCAGGCCCTGCGGATGGCCTCGGAGCTGGAGTGCAGGGGCGTGTATTTGGGCTCGTGCAGGATGGGGTGCATGCTGAAAGGCTGCTTGCTGTTCATCGACATCATGATTGCAGAAGTGAGGGAGGGTCGCTGTCCGTCGTCCTCGTTCGACTCCGTTTTGGTGATATTACCTGGAGAAAAACGCCTCGCAGAGGAATAAAAAACAACAAAAGCAACCTGCCGCTAGCAGAGGTGTTTTGGGTCAAAAAAAAAAAAAAAAAAAAGTAACCCGCCGGATCGGACTCAGGGATTTTCGCCTTTAAGTCAGGGAAAAAAAAAAGGTAAGGAGCAGTAACTCCTGGACTCCTGTGGACCTTCTGCCTGCTTTTCCACTCTGAACGATTCCTATAATAAAGATGCTGCCTGCATCCGGCGCCTATATTAGACCGCTGCCTCACAGGCTGCTCCTCATTGGAGGACCGGCCCTCCCTCCCGCTGCGTTCCTCCACCAATCACATGGAGAAACCCGGCTGTGGCCACGCCCACCACCAGAAGGGACCCTTTGAGGTAGCACTTTGCTAAAGAAATGTTTCTGTCACATTTGTAGATTAGAACCGGGTCAACAATGTCAGAACAGGAATCACCAAGATTTCCATAACCAGGCATTGACTGCAAGTTGTAAAAATCTTAATTATTAAAACTTAAAGTTAGAAAAAGTCATAGCCCTGTACAGAGCTTTCCAAAAGCTGTTGTACTTGTTTGTTCCAACCACAAACTTGGGATTTTCTGTGACAGATCAACACAAAGTGGGAGAAAAAGAATGAACTGTGTGAAAAGTGTGGAGTGTATCTGTGTTGAGCCCTCTCTCTGAGTCTGCAGTGTGTCTTGGTCTTCCTGATGTTGTTTGGTCACTAAAGTCCTTTCATAAACCTCTGAGCTCTTCACAACCAGGCAGACCTCTGGAGGCAGGTAGATCCAATAAAAGTTCAATTATACAAACTGCACTCCGCAGCTTCTTATTAACAAAATAGTGATGTGTATGGCTTTCTTTCCACTTCACAGTGACAGCGCATAAATTTCCAGTGAAACACATCAAAGTTAAAGCAAGAAAAAAAGTTAAAATAAGAAAAAAAAGTTAAGTATTTATGAGTATTTTTGAAAAGTGCTCTATACATTTCTCAGTAAGAAAATAGTTATTAAGCCTTTTAGGCTACAAAAAAAAGTGAAATTAACTCCCAGCATGTAGAACTATTTTCCTTCAGTGGTTCAAGAAGGCATTTAATAAAAATCTTTTTAATTGTTACAAGAGGCCATTAAAAATAAGTTTTAATTTATGAAAACATCTCCAAACTCCTCCTAATGAACCCATTTCCTTTTCTTAACAACTAACATGTAAATAATGGTGGTTGATTCACTTTCTGGCTGTGAGAAGGTGTACCCTGCTCTCCACAAACACACCCTCCTGTCTCAATTAAACAATAAACACCCAAAGCCTCCTTTTATACGGAGGGATGTGAATATTTGGCAGTGCTTCCTCCCTCCATCTCTGATATGTCATCTATATAAATGAAAAACAAATACTTACCTGCTGTAAATATGATTGATAATTGTTACGGGTTCTTTAAAAGTAGAAATTAAAAATGCATTACTTTTTTTTCCCTGCCAAAACTAGGGGGCTATGCTCCCACTTATTCATTGATTTCATTCAAGTATTTTAATGGGAAGTTGAGTGGAGGGAAAAAGTCTCCATAGTTGAGACAGGAATAACCAAACCCTGATCTGGGTTCAGTGCTTCAAGAAACTTTTCATACAAATATCCAGGGCATGAGTTACAACTGCATGAGCCAAGGTCAGGTATGGTCTGATAATCAATGGTCCAAATCCATCTTTTCACATCTTCAAAGTCAATGTTGTGTTTTATTTTAAAATCAATATTTCAGCATCTGAAGGAAGAGTAAAACAGCACAGAATATAAGTAGGATGTTTTTACAAACAGTGGCATTTTGGTGTACATTCTTAATCTGAAGGTTGATATTCCTGTAATAAAAATCCCCTTTCACTGGTTTCACACAAAAGTCACACTTTCGGAAAAGTGATTTTTTTTTCAGCTGTAACCTTTAAAAGTTTACACAACGTTATCATTCTATATGCAAAGAATCTAAAACTTTCATTTATAAAACTGATTTCCTCAGATAAATGTACAATTCATAATACCCCCACCTGTATTTATAGTAACTGACACTTTGAACACTGGAAAATCAACCAGTCTAAAAAATAATAAAGTGAATAAAGTGTGCTCAAACAAAGACAAAATCTTTTCATACACCATTTATATTGTCATGTGGACAGTGCAACACAGACACACACAGGATAAACACTCATGCACACAGTCACTCTTAAAGACAATTTATAGATGAATAAACCTAACATCCAATTTTTGGCATGTCGGGTTCATCTAACTAAACCTAAACAATCTCACACAGAAGAAAAGAAGAAAGAGACAAGTGAGTTTTCAGAATTTCTTACAAGGAACTAGCTTTAGTTTAAATTTTTCTACCTATTCTGAAGCACGCTCTGCCTCACCCTCTCTTTTTATTTTCTCAGGGCAGTTCCTAGATACATAGCTTATCCAGTTTTCTTGAGTTACAGGCCCCTACAGGCTGCCGTAGTGCAGAGTGCAAAATTCAGTTCCTCTCTACTTCCTTCTGCAGCAACAATGCAGGAACTGGTCAACTCACAGTCCTAAAATATACAAATGGGTATTTATATGGGATATTTATTTACAATTCTAACAAATACCCAGAGAAATCCTTTGCATTCTTAGAGAGAACATGCAGACTTTCTTGAAGAACCCAAAATATATGTCAGATCAGAAGAACAAGATCCAAGTCAGATGAAAAATGAAAATAATTAATGAATGACATCAAGTTGTTTGCAGAATATCAAAATAAATTATACTGGTTAAAAAAAAAGATGTTGAGGAAGTTGCAAGAAATCAATTTATATTAAATTGATTAATAATGACAAAACAAAAAGATTTGTCTCTCTAATTTTGAGCCAGATTTCTATTGTGAGAATATGTTACATGGCCTCATGCACTGGGTGAAACAATCTGCAAATGTCTGCATGCAAATTCATCTTTAAATGATGCAACTGAGGTAAAATAGTCCCTACATATGTGCTCCATCATGTGAGAAGAATTTTTAAGTGTCAGAGAAGCATCAGCTTTATTGAACTTGATGGTCATCTTGTGTCATTCTCTGAAAGCAGGAACTCAGAATCAAACTCTTAACCAGTCTGTATCACTTTATTTGATGCAACAGTTGCATTTTTTCCCCCTTGGGAATCAGCTCTTACTGTGTCAGAAATAGTATTTTCAGTTTTTTTTTTCCAGCAAACATCCTTCATCTGTATCATGTAACAGGATCTGTGTTGCTCTTGTTACCTTGCCTCTTGCTCTTCAGTCCGTGGCTGAACCTCCAGCCCTGACTCACCGACAATAAGAGCTGCCCTGTTGGTCACAGAGTCAGGAAACCTGAGTGAGACCTATTGTCCTGTCCTGGCTGCCACCCTCCAGAGGGTCCCCGGCACCCGTTCATCAAATATACATCACCGCTCTCCAGTGAGACGCCAGCGGCCAGGATAGTCCTTTGGGAAAGCAACACTGTGCAGACACAGAGCAGGGAGTACAGCTGGGATCAGAGGAGGATCTGCGGCAGGGGAGAGAACGCTTCAGACTCTTTAAGTTCACCAAATTGAGCAAGAAAAACAGTTTGAATTAAACATTTCCTTCCTTTGCTGGAAGTAAATAAAATGAGTATCAAACTTTCCTGCTAGAAAGATGTAATTGATGATAGGCTGCTAGAAAGATGTAATTGTGAAAAACACCAGTAATGATTTTCTGGGTTAGTGTGGGGGGTTGTTATCCCAATGATGGTGTTACTTGGAAGAGATGTTACAGGTAGAATCTGAACCAGAGAGAGGTTTTGACATTGAACCTGTATAACAAGCACCCATAAAAAAATAAAAACAAAAACAAAAAAAAAAAACACTATTCTCCACCAAATGAGAAGCATATTTGGTACAAAGTCACTAAGCTAAATGACTGCATCATCTAAACTGTTGGGTAATGTTTTACCCAATGTTTTGGACACTCAATTGGAGAGTGCTGCAGTGTCTGTCGGGCAGATTTGTTGTCTTAAGTCACTCATGTTCTGGGTAAGTTTGAGGCAAAGAACCAAATATCTCTTCTGGGGAAAGGACATCTTGAGATCTCACAATAAAGAACTAGAGAATGTTGCTGGGATAGTGACCCAATGTTGTAGAAGACGACCAAGATAGATTAACTTTCTGCACATTGATTTGATAATATAAGCTTAACCAGTTTTTCCGATCATAATTCCACAAAAAATACATAACAACAATCCTCCCATTTTGAATCACTGTGGTTTTACATAGTTCAAGTTCATCAAAGTATGCTGTTAAGATACTAACCTGAAGAGAGGTTGCTTGCATCTCACAGGATGGACATGACCAATGCATAATGCCTAAGGAGGGGTTCTGTATTGCAACCCTTGTGTTTGGTTTACAATCAGTGCTTTACATACAAGCAACATTTGTACTCTAGAATAATTTGGCATAGAAATGAATTTATTGCAGAACAAGCCCAAATCATCACCTTTCCAACTGCATGCTTGACAGTGCGTATGAGGTGTATGTGTTGAGATGTGTTTGTGCTCCATGGCCAAACATTTTTATTCTAGACTCATCTGTCCAAAGGACAATGTTCCAAAACAGATTCATTTAGATGAAACTTTGCAAAGTTGTGCTTCTGCTTTTGTACAGTTACATGTTTCTTTCCCAACCATGACGGACAAGTCATAGCTTTTTTTATTGTACTGTCATAAATGTAACCATTTAGCATGCTAACTAATGCCATAGCTCAGGTCACTGAAGTACTTCCACCTCAGCTTTCCAGTATTGCATGATCTAAACCTGAGGTGAATTTGTTGGGATGCGTTCATTCTTCTGCAAATTTTCAGCATCTTTATGTATTTCACTTGTTGTCAACCTTTCACTGTACTATAATACACATTAAGTTAGTTGTAAATGACCTTATAACTTCCCAGGGTAAAAACAGTTCTGCACACCTAATGTCTTAGTTTAAAACATTTTTCAGCTACTGGAGATACTTAGCTTCAGTTTCAGGAAGGTCTTTTGTTTGACAAGGATACATGTCATTGAGATCCATCTGTTAGCGTATTTCAGAGAAAGTAT